GTCATTGGTCCACTAAACCCAGCCGCTTGCAGTAGATATTAAGATATTCTAATTAGCAGGCATAGTCTGAACTAATTATTGGGCCCGAAACGAAACTATAAATGGCGAAACTACGGATGTACCATAAGAACTAATGGAGGTGTGTGGTGAATTGTAACTGGGATGCCGACCTTGGCTGATGGAAGAAACACTGAATAGTAGATTGGGATAAATAAATAGCTTCCAACCCCGATGTCAGCACATATATAGCAGCCGGTTGTGGAGAACTTTGTCAAATTGTTTGCTGAAAGTCGATTCAGATAAATTTCAATTTTAAGTACACACCAACGTTCATGGGATGCTAATAATTTAGTGAAATTGGAATAACATGTTCTAAAGCCATGCTTCTTTTCAGGAAGAATCCTGTTTTCGTCGAGATACTTAAATAACTGCTTCCAAATAATATTTTCTAAAATCCTAACAACTACGCTGGTTAGGCTTACGAGTCTATAGTTCTCAGGCTTATGTTTCGTATCTGTTTTGAAGATAGGACTTACTACAGCATTCTTCCAATCTTTTGGTAATTAACCCTGAGTTACAGATAGATTAAAACATATGCATAAGGGATTCCTGACAAAATTTTCTAGTTCCTTTAGTAACATAGGATGCATTTCTTTGGGTTCCATGGATCTACTTGTAACGAGTCTTATTCTCATACCAAATATGTCGAGTTCTTTAACGGTCAGTGTGTGTGGAGGCTTGCATGAATTCAAGGAAGGAGTATCTCTTCAGTGTATACATCGCTAAAGTAGATCGAGAATACCTGAGCTCTACCATAGTCGTCCTCCACTAATGACGAAATACTACTGTCTCTCCATAGTGCTGGAATGTTTCCTCTTCCATTAGTCCTTTGGTTTATGTGCGAACATCAGCGTTAAGGGCATTATGTAGATTCTTTAACAAGTCTTTCTTCATAAAAACTCCTAGACTTGCGGAGGTTCTAGGTACAAATCTGTTGTGCTTCCCCGTATTTGGATTTATCTCATCAGTACCCAATAACCTAAATCTTCCTATGTTGTTATCCCTTAACAAGGAAAAGTACGAAACTTCCTGCTGAACCACAGTTGGCAGCTTCTCGGACCCCTTGGTGTAATCCAGGGGATGCAAAGTGCAGTGATGTTGATGTACATCTTTCTGAATATATCCCAAGCCGTTTCAATCGGGGACTCAGGCTCTATTGTCCAACCTACTTATGATACTGAGTGTTTAACATGTTGCATATTTGATTTCCAGACATTTGGTTTGACTTGGGCTGACACAAACTGATTATCAGCAACCGTATGGAAATTAAATGCTGAAATTTCACGACCACTTTTACCCAAGGGTGGAATATAATCGAAGTTCATGATATAATCCTTATAATGGGTCAACAAAAGACGCAAAAAAAGATTATTCGGAGTCTGATTTGTACGTAGTTGCTTCATTCATAAGTTGCACTAGGGCAGATGTGATAACCGTATCAACTAGTTTCTGTTAGAAGGAATTATCTGACAATTTTGAACTTAGATTACTCCAGTCTACCATAGATGCATTAAAATCTCCTAAAATTCAACATCCACTAGTTGATGAGAAAGTGTTGAGGGTGTCTAACAAGGCCTGATTCACCACACAGTTTTAACTGCGACAGACCAAACCAATCGGCAGCTCTTTTCCTCCGCATTTCAAGCGGTGACTAATTCACACGTCCCACTATTATGGGATACGTTGTTATTAACGTTAATTGGGATAGTATTACGGTTGGACTCTAATTTAAGGACGACCTTTGAACGAATCTTAAGTGACCTTGATAAATATTAGCCGATCAGCAAACAGTAAGTATAGAGAAAAAATATATTAAACAAAACCAAAGAAATAAAAAGGATGCACCTCTTATACATGGTTCGGAAACTTGTAAAGTTTAGAAAGAGGTCCAGAGGTTCTAAAATCGTAATGCATGCAGTAGAGTAAATCACCCATAAGGCCACAGAATAGTAGATCTCCGGAGCCATGATGAAGTCTCAAAAACCCTTTCGGCCTCGACCACATATTTTCAATATTGCTTATATGCAGTCCGGTTGTTGAGTACACAAAATAATACTTGTGGATAACGACATGATGCACATTAACAAGCTTATGTAGGAGTTTGTACGTTCTCCAATCATTAGTATTTATTGTACCTGGCTGCAGCCAGTAATACTGGTGCTTTGATTGTCCAGTTCGCATTAATTTTCATAATCTGCCTTAGGAATTAAATACTAGGTTTTCATCACGAACTGACAACACCTGTAATGCCAGAAATTTATTTAGCCAAATAGATGGAAAGCTTCCGCGTTAAAATCCGAGATTTGTTATCTTTTACACCATTGATTAGTCCACAAATTATAGTCTCGTCCTTTTATTTGTTATAGCCGCTCAGTTACCACGTTTTGTATAAAATTCCTTGTGAACCGATCCTACGTTAACATTAAGCACTAAAGTTGGTGCCATAACCTTGTAGTCTCTAAAACGCTTCTGATTGGCTCGTCCATAAATTAGAGTCTCGCCAGTATTTCTAATGAATAGAGCCATTCCTTTAACCTTCTGAATTCTGTTGGCTCTTACTAACGTAAAACTAACAAAATCAGGTACCATACTGTCTACAGTATGCATCACGCATGTTTCCGTGATAGTGGTTACATCCGGCTAGGCAGAGTCTATTTGAAAACATATTTGAGCAAGCTCCGGGCAGATTTGAAGTTCATTTAAATGGCTTTGCGATGCATACAACTTGGTTTCGGTACCAGTATCTATCGAAGGCTCACCACAAAATTTTTACAATTTTCAGGTCTTTTTCGTTAGTATCTAAACGGAGTTTTAGTTCTTCTCTAGCTCCTGTTCTTTTTATGCGCTCCGGGAGCAGCAAGTCTTTAGGGAAAAGATTTCCAAATCCTTTTATATTGTGTCTACTTTATAGTAATGTGCCTCCTTTATTAGGAGAATTAAACACTACTTTGAGCAACCTGGTCTGATCTTATTTCAAGTCCTTTGGCTACCTAGTCTAAGGCATTTGACAAGATGACTTCAGCGATATCTTGAGGCAATAGCTGGTTTAATAGCTGTTTTATCAACTTCATTTCATGTTCAAAAGGAGTTTTTGGTTCCGAGTTTTCACTCTGTTTGACTTTGTGAATGACAACTGACCTCTCATTAATACCAGTCTTCGATTTATCAGCAAATTTTTGGGGAACTGGCTTTTATTTGTTAACACAAGATCACTTTATATTCTTGATATATACCCAATCATCAACTATGGTTAGGATAGCAAGCACAGTTGCTTTTCACATTGTGGGATTCTGGATGGTTTTCTATGACTTGGGTGGTTAAGTTGTTGTTTTCTCTACTAGAAACACCCAACCTTGTGGTTAGGTTTTCTAGATGTTTTCTGCCCACTGCCATTTGTACTACAATGATAAGAAGTGAGCTTAAAATAGTCATATACTTTATATTCGCTTTATATAAATCCAATGGATATTGTTTATTGAATGCCTTAAGGACTGTATGATAATTCAAAAGGTATGGTGTTTTCGCGCTTTCTTTTATTTTACGGTTTTTAATTTTAATTTCTGTACTGCCATTGCGTAACACTTCGTCGATTACTCTCACAAGATACCTAAAATAAAAAATTGTTAATTTATTTGACTTACTACAGGTTTCCACCTTACTTCTTACGAAAATATGTTTCCTGATTCAGATTGTATACATGCGGTGATCGAATTCGACAAGCTCTCATTTCCGATGTTCAGGTGGTATTGATCTTACCTTGATGTTGTTTCTAATTGCTGTTGGTCGCAATTGTTGTTAGATGTAAGTTGAATCTGTATTTACTGAGTCGTCTCAGTTTTTACTTTGTTCCCTTCTATTCCAGATTTTATATCACTCTCCCTTAACACTAAGCGTAACTTCAGAATAGACGTTCAACACGAAATGTTTAAGGTTTTTAGGTAATTTTCATGAATCCCCTCAGGAGTAATTCTAAAACAATACTATAGTATAGCTATAACTATGTGATCGGGTTAGATATTACATTTTTGCATTTTTGTAGCCTTGGCTTCTAACTAAATGCTAGCATATAGTCGTACAAGTATACTGTTTGTGCTTCTGCGCTATTGTCTGTTGCGCAAACATATAATACAAGTAGCAGCCAAATACGAAATCAGATTGAGAAATACCTTGATTTGTTTCAAATATTGCTCACATTTTTATCTGAATATGATAGCATTGCTGAAAAGACCATCTATCTTACCGCCATGTCCAGATTTTATCCTTATCTTTTCCCCATTAGCCGTACACATCATATAATATGTACTGTAATTGGCACGTTTGAACTTCAAACGTTTGTACGTGTGGTAATGGGTAAGCATATCAAGCAACAATTTGTGAACTTTGTGATTATCTGCAAAGGACAACGTGTTTTGCAGCCAGCTATGAATATTCATAAGTGCGGTATGTTTACATATGTGTTAACTCGAACACTTAATCAGTAAACAATACCACGTATTCCGATACTACTTAACCTGTATTAGGTGACTAGCTCATGTAGTTTCACTAAGTATGCTCAAATCCAAAAACAACATGGACTTTAAATCCGGATTACATAGGCTAAATCCACGTTCTACCCACTGAAAACTTCAATTCTTGTTGGTAGGTCTGTTGATAATGCAGAGAATTAACTGTTAGGTCAATGTTAACAGCAAAACTGTGGAGATCGTTAAAAAGGTCCTGTGACTGTGGTATTCGTTTAAAGTGAAAGGTATTAGTCGTCTGCTGTTTGACAATTCATGCCATGGTTATTTTCGTTGAATGAATCACTTGTGTTTTCTTTTAGATTTTGTAGAAAATCCGTTTATTTGAAAATGGTGGATTTATAAAGCTCAGTTTTAAATTCCGTGTGGCAGTCCTTAATTTACGTCTGATCTTCATCAGATCACTTATGTGATTCATACATGAAGGAGGATAAGTTATTTTGCATCTGTGGACTAATCGTCGGGATCGTATTGCTATTTTATGTATTGTCGCCGTATAGTCCAACATGCTTACTTAGAAGCTGTATCCATAAACAGAATGACCATACAGGTTTTCTGTATGCTGTTCAAACTAAAAAAACAACTAAGTATTTGATGAGATATACGAGAGATAATTCAAGTAATATGTCTGTGCTCGTCTTCATCCATATTCAGAAAACTGCCGGTACACTCCTAGAACGTCGCTTAGTTAAAGATGGTTTAGTGGGCAAAACATGTTACTGTTTTTTCAAAAGACGCTGTAATTGTAAAACGCAAAGTGGTAATACTTGGCTTGTCAGCAGATATTCTACAGGCTGGGTATGTGGACTTCATGCTGACTTAACTGAATTAACGGAATGTATTGACAGCAAACTAAACAAGGTTGACCATCATATTATTAAAAGAAAGTATGAGTTGTGCCAATTTTACTCATTTATTATTATTATTACTCATTGTTCAATATTTTCTGTTATTTTTAATAATAACTTGAAAAATATAGCCTCTAAAGTATTTTAAGTTGGTCTAACTTATGTCGTTTAGTGTAAATTAGATGCTCTAACGATTTATTAGATAAAATAATTTCATTATCACTTTTGTACAGTCTACTCATTATTCACCAATTCTATAATTGTTCACATTATGCTCTAGCCGGAAAGTTTGAATTCTTTCGTAATTAGCTGATTATTTGCAGCAATATTAAAAATCGAAATGAGGTAGGGACTATGAAATACACAAAACTTTGGGCTAGGTATTATTTACTGAACAATTGATACATGCACAATCATCAGGACATGAAAAAAGGCATAGCCGCTTTAAATGAGTCTCTTAAATAGATGGAAGAGATAACAGATATTACTGTAGCACTTACCTGGGCTTTAGAAACTGTTCGGGATGCAAAATTAAAGGCCGAATATGTGTGTATTGAGAAAAGGATGCTGATTAAATCATCTAAAGTCACAATTGGGCATCTTATTCAAGTATGTTTGCCCGATGGAGGAGTATTTACTCAAGTCTCAGATGAGTTGCATTTCAACGTTGAAAATAATTAAAAGCTCGTAGAGTCAGTGTCACAAGTTATCGTCAGTGAATCATATACGACACTCAGAATTCGTTCTCTTTATTCTGCTGATGAACTGCCAATTTATCTAGCCAGATATCAAAGACAATTCATAGACTATATTTTTATAAATAATCGACTTATTAGGCTTAAAACTCGCTCAGGAGAAAACCGAATCACGTGATGTGTGTGGAAGTTGTTGATCTATTAAAAGTGATTTTTAGGAGATTCACATCCAATATCTGCTTGTTTGTAGGAAGCCTACTTCAAGTTGAAGAAGAATGATCCCTATCATATATTTGATCTTCATGATTTCTGGTTCTAGCTACTGGTTAGGCAAGTCAGGCTAATTGAAACTATTATGAATGCTATGAAATTCAAAGGACGAGTATCTGATTTTTGACTGGAGGTTCTGTAGAATCCCAGTTACATCAGATTGGAAGTAACAGATACTACATCATAACAATCTTTTTTTTTAAATAACAGGAGTATTTTTTTGTTTTTACTGTTTATTTCCTAAAGTTCTATTAACTGAAAATTGCATTTACTAGAATTGTTTATCATCTCTCTTTTCAGGTACATATATTTTACTTTGTTACGCGATCCTGTCGATCGTTTTATTAGTGAATGGCAACATATACGTCGCGGTGCGACATGGCATTCAGCTACTCTTCGATGTAATAAACAATATCCACCACCTGAACACTATAAACCATGTTATTTTAATGAAGAAATTGTCGAAAATATCTCGTCAAATGTATCCATTAAATCTGTTATAGATTGTCCTTACAATTTAGCAAGTAATCGCCAAACAAGAATGTTAGCAAACCTTTCTAGTCTAGGATGTTATAAGCATTTAACGAAATGGTCTCAACCTCTTAATGTCACAGTATTAACCCATATTCCACCAGTTTCATTAGCTCTTTTAAACAGTGCTAAACATAATCTTGTCAATATTATCAGTTGTTATGGTTTAAGTGAATACTTAATTTATTCTCAATATATATTACAAAAATGTTTACATATTACATTTAAACGTTCATTTATTGAATTTAATAAAATATCTTTTATGAAACAAAGATTATTGTTTACACATGCTACAATAATCCGTTCCAATTTAAATCAGTCTACTTTGCATGAAATACAACATGTAAATAAGCTAGATATTTTTCTATACAATTTCGCCAAACAATTATTTGTGTATCGATTAGTAAATTATTTATTATTTGATTCAAATATACCGCTGCATTTTAGACGACCTTTACACACTATTTGGCACAATAGACTTAGGTCTAAATCATATACATATCTAAGCTATTTACTGTTTTCCAATCCTATCATCAACTATCATGATGCTAATATCAGTAGCAATGCATTTTCATATCGTTTCAATTTATTTCTCACTAAGTTGTTCATTCGTAAGGGTAGCATTCCAGTATCTGAGTCTGTTTTAACCAGTGAAGATAAGAAATGGAGTGATCGACTTTCTTACGATTTTAAAATCTAGTTTGTAAATTACTTACATTTTGTTCATCGACCCTCTCCCTCTACGCTCACGTTTTGTATTTCCATTTTTCCAACCAGTTTTGGATTGTAAAATGATGCTTGTTTTACTAAATATTATTTAAAGTATTTTCTCACGAATTGTTTTAATGAGTAGAGTAAAGAAAAAGCGACAAACTATGAAAAGCATTTAAGGGGGGCATTAATATACCTAATTTTATGCGTTATGATTAACGGTTAGTTCGTATGATTTCCATTTTTTCATAATATCAAGTTTTCATTTTATTCAGCAACTGTTGTCATATCTTCTTTTGTTCTCAAATAATTGTAATCTAATCATGAGCTAAATATCCGCATTTCGCATCCCAAATGTCTTATTTTAGTTATTGTACGTTGTCGTTCAGTTGTTCATATCTCTAAACATGTACATTTATGAGTTAGCGATTCATTTAGATACAGGGGTTTACACTAATATCTTCGTGCCGTGTTTTCTCATCGGATGTTGGGGAAAACGGAGTATATGAACATGTGGTTAGTGTTCTTATAACAGATTATTTAATTAAGTAGTTAAAATGGACAGTCCACAGGATCAAATACATAGTAGTCGGACTCAGGCGTTAGTGTCACAGGGCTATATTAAGTAGCCTAATGTATCAACAGCATCACTAAGTTGAGTCAATTTTCTCGTATTTCTAACATCAGGACCAGTAAATATCAGATTTCCAAGATTGTGATTATTTTAAATTCACTCCCATCGTGGTGAGATAATTTTGTAAGTATATGAGTCAACTCTTTTAACGAGGTGTGTCTACTGGGACAATAACTTTCTTGATTTCGATTTATAATTAAATTATGTGAAAAGTCAGTCTCATTCCCTCAAGAGCATTCCTGCGCTGTGATAATACATTTGTCTAATACTCACTTTCCTGTTAATGACATCCTTGGAAATCTTCAGAGGTAGGAAGATAGAAAACAAATCCATTTGCGCCATTACGAACGAATCTGATCAATGTCTTACGAACTTTCCAACCATTGGTTACTATAATCTCATGGGGCCCAACAAGGTGGTCTGCACCTGTATGACTCGATCCAACAGTCAAGAACTCCATAGATTAATACCATGTCTTGGTTCGCCCGTAAACAGATTTCTTCCTACTTACTCCAGCACCAGCGGTCACCGCTAGTAAAAGTCACCATACGTAATATATGTCCTAAGTGTGTCAATAAACACTTACTACCTCATTATTCGATTCGTCATCATTATCTAATACTCTACGTTTACTTATAGTACTTCTAACTCTATGGTCCCAAAATACACGACATTTTTCATCGAATGCTAGTAACCTACGCATATTATCTATGTTTTAACACTTAAATTTCACAGTCGTGAAGTAGGGCGGAATAAACTGTTGCTCAGTAGCTATCATTACCAAGATTTGATTCGATAATTTCGAATAAATTGAGCATTGGGTAGATTGTTATAACTAAATAATATATTTGTAATATTCCAATGAGTAGAAAAATTAGATTTTCTGACGTTTCGTGACTTAGTGTAAGTCAAGTCTTCAGGGAATAGTACAACGTCTTACTATATGAATTTGGATTAGTTTTAATTTAGTTATTTATTCTCTGAAGAGGTGACTTACACTAAGTCGCGAAACGTCAGAAAATCTAATTTCTCTATTCATATTATTTAGTTAAAACTGTTGTTCAGTATACCCAAGCTCTAGTTGGAAAGAGCCAATCGAACTTACTAAATCCATACCGAGATTTCGTTGGATATCAGCGCTTTAACCGGATCCCAAACCAATGGTACATATGGGCTCCAGTATCCTGCGGGAACAAATGACGTATGAACCAATCGTTGGTCACCGGCTACCATGGGACTGCATCTCCTTACGATGCTCCATTGTCTTGTGGATCAGGCGTTCAGGTCGAGGGCTCGGGGTGTGGCCCCCTAAGAAAACCACCTACTTCGGTATGGGCACCGGGGTAGTATCATAGCCCTCACATATATCAAGTGAGATATGTATGGCGCATATATATTCGGTGCCTCCTTGTACCAATATCTATGTATTAAAATAAATAATAATAAAATAATCAGCTCACCAGGACTGATGAAACTTCTCAGATAAATGAAGGAACCGACATGCTCAACTACTTCACTTTTTATTATTAGTTCATGCATTGATGTAGACTAACTTTAAGATGATGTTTTGAATTTGGAGAGCGAGACACTGAAGACATACTGACATTGTTATTTGAAGCAATTAGAAGACGTGTTCTTCAAATCGAACTATATCATCTGCTTCAACAAGTGAATCTCCTAGTAGATAATAGTGGATGTCCTTTAATAATAAGTATTTACTGCTGTATTGTATTTGAATTTAACCAGTAAACTTTAATTGTTCAAAAATGCTTTCAAACAAACTACTCAGCTTCTATCTGGATGATATTCTGTGAAAAATTTTAAAAATTAACTCCCATTGTTTATTATTGTTGTATACAGTTTCAAAAAGTACCAATTGGATTCGATTTTTTTCATATAGTTTATACACCAAAGAAAAAGTACCCAAATAATTATTGATATCAATAACCATACAGTTAAAATAATTATACCAATAATGATGTTATTTTTTTCATTAATCATCATCATATTAAATGTTGAATTTTTCCCATAACAACAATGATATGTCGTCTCATTATTAGTTTTAGGAAGAATTTCAAATCCCAAATTACAATCATTGGTAATATAAAGTAAGTTTGTTTTTTCTATGTTTATTGTATAATTACGATGGTTATTACTTGATGATATCCAAGATATATTGGAATTCATTAAATTTGTACATTTTAATTGTTTTATTTTATTTGAATTATATTTCATTAATAAATTTTGTTGATATTCATTAAACAATAGATGATTTTGTATTAATAAATGAAAATAATTCTGTTGAATAGTTTTAATGATAAAAGTTTTTGTTTTATTCATTTGATATTTTTGTTTATTTAAATTGATCAATTTAATTGGATCAATTTGATCGCATATTATTTCATTATTAATTTCTATATATCTACTAGTAAGTGGGAATTTATCTAACATTGGTATCCATATATGCTGTAATAATTCATATTCACATGGGATATGAATAAAATTATCATCAATGTATAATTTAAATCCTAAACGTTTAGCTTTATTCATAGCTAATTGTTGAGAACCATTCAATTTAGAATCATATAATCGTGTAAAATATTCAAATGATAATCTTAATATTTTATTAATTTCCATCATTTCATAATCATTACTATTGTTGTTGTTGATGGTGGTGGTAGTGGTGTTGTTGTTGTTCTCGTCCTGAGGATTCTTTATAGTTTCTTTTAATTCTGATTCGGATCGTGATATTTTCAAATAACATCGTCTATATTGATTGAATTTAATTTTGCCGCAATGTTTTCTAACTTCATTTTCTTCATCTATTTTAAATGTAATAGTCATAAAACGTAAATGATAATCAGCTAATTCAGTAATATTGTTTAATGTAATATTTACTTGATTATGTAATGTATGTGTTTGTTGTATATTTTGAATGTTATGATAGACATTATTATTATTATTATTATTATTATTATTATTATTAATATTTGATATGTTTGTTAGTTTAGAATTTTGTTTAAATAAACCAATTCTATATAAATGATACCAAATAAAATTAGCTGGATGCATTTTATCATTTATATATTGACAAACATATGTTCCTAAATATTTATTTGCATTAATATTTTGTCCAATTAATTGTAAATTAAATTTACTAATACAGAAATCATTGAATGGATCTTGTTTAATTCTTTCTAATAATTTATTATTAAGCATAGTATCACTTTCATAGTATGTTTTATTAGCTCTAATAAATATAATGTACTTTTTATAATGTGGTATATAATTCCATTTAAATAGATCTAATCTTTCACCTGGACATATTGGACAAAATAAATGAAATGTAATATTTATTTCATTTATATTAAATAATAAGAATTGATGTCGTCTACCAGCTTTTTCTATACGTTCAATATTACATGGTTTATTAGTTTTTATATTGGGTATATCAAAATTGCATATTTTTAGTTTATCATCAGTAGTATATAACGACAATAATAATAATAATTGTAGAATAATTAAAGAATTCATTATTGTATAATTAACTACGTGTTGTTTTATCAATGTAACCATATGCGATTCCTCGTTGTCACAAGTTTACACTACTGATATTTACTTAAATCAGTTAATTATGTCATTTTTAGTATGGTAAGATTTAAAATTCTTTAAAATCAATATGTTTATGCCTTAAGCATGATAGTGATAAACCTATAAAATCTAACCATTTATCATGCTTTACATGTTCGATGTGGGCTGGACTGTGATACTGCCCGGGTGCCCAGACTGAAGCAGTAAACTTGATGGTTAAATTTGAATATTTATTATTACAATGGAGTGAAGAGTTGAATAAATGTAATAGGATTGAATAGATATTTTTTTAAAAATGTTCAAAATAAATGCAATGTATCAGACAATATTATACAAAATCAAATATTACTTACTTACCTACGCCTGTTACTCTTAATGGAGGAGCATAGGCCACTCACCAGGATTCTCCATCTAACTTTCAGTTGCATGTGGTGATTTCAATTCATGTGACTAGTTTTCTTACATCACTAGGTCACCAAAATGTAGTAGATTTTCCTACTGGTTTGGATGCTCATTTACACTTGATTTTCATTAATGACATGGGTATAGATGTGACTCGTAAACGTGCTCCATTGTCTAGATCGGATCACTGTATAATTCATGTTCTACCTAAAGCATATGAAAAGCATGGAAAGAGTACATTGTTACCGAAACAACGTTTATTTAACAAGTTAATCAGCGTCAACACTGACAGCCGAATAACCAATTAGGTATGTTCCTACCTCTCTGGAGGGGAACAATACACTGTATTTAGAGGAAAGTGTTCAAAGTCTCATCAATGTATACCACAAAGAGCCATTCTTTCACCTCTTCTTTTTTTCTGCATGATCTGCCATCTTCCACAGAAAACACTTGCGAAATATGCTCATGATCTTTTTGTATGTATACCAATTTCTACCTCTTTACATCCCATAGAAATGAATGAGTTTTTGTCTTGTATTGATTGTTGGTCTGTTAATGGTCTCTCATACTTACTCCGCTAAATGTCAGGCTGTTAACTTTAGCATGAGACATGAACGGCATGTAAACACCACTTTAGGATCCCATAATGCTTATACTATTGGAGACTCTGATAAACACAGTGTCGACGGTCAATTATCTAGGTGTTATCTTTTCCTCTGTTCTCTCTTGGTCTTTTCACGTCTTACTGTCATCGAAGAAGGTTTTCCGTCTGACTTACTACATAAAAAGACTGCATGCTTTTGGGATTACTCGTCTTTTACTCTTACAATTTGTCAATTCTTGCATATTACCTATTATTCTTTACTGTTCTCCATTATTCTTTCCCGGGCTTTTTAGAAAAGACTGCTGTATTGTGGAGAGTGCTGAAGGCACTTAGCAAGGTGTATGGTGAATCTTTCGAGATCATAATTAATATGGTTGTGGATAGACATGTAAAGTCATGCAAACTCCTGGCAGTGATATTAGTCAGTTGATCAAATGGAAGTGGGTAAATCAGGGTGTGAAGCTGAAGTTTATTTTTTGAATGTTGAACATTTGTAGTGTCAGTTGCTATGTTACGCCCACATCGTTTATTCTGGCTTCCGGACAAGCCAATTTATTCATTCTTCTTGAGTCAAGTTTTCATCTTGTTAATAATTCGCTTATTAATCGTGACTGTTTTTTATATGAGCGTATGTGTATGCACATGTTATCCTATTGATCACATGTCTGCAACTTATTTTTGTTCGACTATAAATATTGATTCAGACATGGCTAAATTGAGTTAGCTCACACACCTCGACTATGTGTCATTTCGCTTCTCTCTCTCTCTGTTCACTTCGTTATGTATCTTAGATCGTTTGTCTGGATCAACGATTGTATGAAATACACGTATTATTTAATTCTGTTGTTCACCAACTCGATTTAAGTAGACAATTATATACAAGGGTAGTTGGGATGTAAATAACGATAACAATCAAGCATATGATCTAACTGGAGTCAGATATCGGGCCACTAAACACTTCTCTATTGGATAGATGCTAAAAATCCCTGTTTGCTGATTAGGTGATTATAATGGTGATTTCGCTTTTACTGTTTTCTCATTTGCTACTTGGAGGGTTCTAGCGTTCGAGTGCTGAAGTTATACGCGGTATATTGGTTAGATTATTTAAAATATAGTGCTAGTTGTATCTCTCGAACTTGTATTATGTGAAATTTGTTCCGTTTTTAGGGTTACACTTAAATGTGATTAATAACTGTCTAGCTGAAAAAAGAAAACAAATATGAAAGCAATGTCTACCGTCATAATTCATTCATTATAAAGTAAGATATTATATTTGATCAATCCACAATATAATCGATCATTTCAGAACAGACAAGGTCTCAACAAGAACTTAACTTAGTTATTTACATTTATTATAAGTTTCATGTATTTTACTTAAGTTATACTACTCTTATTACAACTAGTAGTAGTGTTTTCATTTTTGTTTAATTTTATTCCAATTTCCAGTCATTTAAACTTTTGCCCAAATAATAAAACTGTTATATATAATAATAAAAAATAAATGTTATGCATTACAATTAAATTTAGCTAAACAACGTCATATTATTAAATTAATTAAACGTGATCAATTTACAATGAATTTACAATTAACTTGTCATTTATGTTCAAATGATAATTCAATACACTTTCAATGGTATCGTATTCTACGTAAAAAATATAATCAAACACGCCCAACCTTGTGGTTAGTTTTCCTAGGTGTTTTCTGCCCACTGCCATTGGGAGGACGGGGCACAGAAGAAACTTCCACTTTTGAGTTTTTGTTTCCAACAGACCACTTCATAGGCCGTCCTTCCTCATTGACCCATGTCAGTCAATCGATTCTGAGCTTATTTGAGGTAACTTCACGTCAACTCGTACATCGACCAATCGGGTATTATCTGATGTGTCTCAAATAAACCTGTTTATACTCTTTCTAGCAACATTCACTTATGCAATGCGTTCGGATAGCAACCGGCTTGCTCCCGAGCAGCATTACTGACACAACCATACGCAACTAATAATAATAATAATGGATTAAATAAATGTTATGCATTACAATTAAATTTAGCTAAACAACGTCATATTATTAAATTAATTAAACGTGATCAATTTACAATGAATTTTCAATTGACTTGTCATTTATGTTCAAATGATAATCCAATACATTTTCAATGGTATCGTATTCTACGTAAAAAACATAATCAAACAATATTTCATTTTAATAATAGAACATTCTATGGTCATAAATGGATATTGAATAAAGATTTACTTGAACAAGTTCTAACTAATACAATCATAAATGATCCATGTTTAATACATGGAACAAATGAATTAATTTATATAAAAATTGATCCGTATCACGATTCTGGTACTTATGCATGTCAATCATTAAATAATAATAAACATCCTTTACATTTTATATGGTATCATATAGATTATATTAATGCCTATACAAATACATGATATAAATTAAATTTACCATTTATAGGAACAATGAATAAATCTGTAACTACATATAATCAATGGATACAATTACAAAAATATATTGAACAATGAACATTGAATCGGCCAGAATGTTTTCATGATCAAACATTCAGTTTATTACATATTACATGTTATATCCCAATAAGAATAATGAGTGGTAATTTTTGGGATCCATTTATGGATCGATATCATGAGTATATTTTTATCGTATAATTGTTATGTAACTAATCTGTTCATATCCATGTCCTTCTTATTATGAGTTTTATTTTGATCTATGAACTATTATTATACGATTTACCATTCTTGAGTTATGGCCTGTCTATTGACTACTATCTCCCTCATGCACATCCACATTTGGCTAATTCTTGTACAAATGTTGTTTTATATTTTATGGTACGTTGTGGTCTATCTGGTTTGAAATAAATGATTCATATTGCAGAGGCTGAGATTGGTGTTCTGGACTCAACTGGCTGGGCTAGACGGGAAGCGACACCAATCAGGACTCTAGGCTGCTCGCACGTGTTTTATGTGACACTGGTTCGATCAATAATTCACTGCTCTCTGATTGGCAGTATCGTTGCGTTATACAATAACAGGGCACACAGGGTCACAAGATATAACATTACATCAAAATCATTTCGTCATTTAACACATAAATATTGTGGTAATATCCATGTCCAACAAAATCGTGTTTGTTATATACAGATACCAAGAAAACTACCAATCCATACTGACAATAATAATAATATAGAAGAAATAAAATTTATTTTAGATGATTCAATGGTTTCTGTGAATTTGAACAATTTTATGGTAATAATAATAACAATAGTTTTTTATTCTCGGAATTTATTATTATTATTATACGCACACTCATACAGTATACAACTCAACAATTGATTACCTGACAATAGAGACACAATCGTTTATTTACACAAGTATAAGCATTCCACACACAGTGAGGGCCAGAGTAATAATGAAAATGGAAGGAAATTCACAATATTACATTGTTTCCCAAACATTTAGTAAAGTTGATTGTTTGTCTTTTCTCACTAGCTAATTATGATTCAATATTGTATGTTTCTCATAAATTACTTATAAGCTGTAACAACAAAATTACAAACGAGGTGTGGTAGACTTTTATCAAAATGAACTTGTACGAAAGTCATTGTAAACATGCTTTATCTGGTCTAGTGCAGCAAAGTTGTTTCGAATTCAAAAATAACTAACGAACAAATATAATGTGACAAATAAAAATTATCATATGGACAGGAAGGTTCTAGATTTAAATAGTATGCCTAAGTGAGAAGCACTCAGTAAAACCGAATTATGGACGAAAAGGTCCTAATGAACTAATAACGAATACAGGACAACTGACCAGTAAAGATAGCTGTCTTCTGTAATAAGATGGTAAACTGATTTATAATTTATATAACATATTTAAACATAATTAGTTGTAGGATTAGGATATTTGTTAGGCCATTCATGAGTCAAACTAATGGAAGCCCTAATTATTTGAGCTAAGTCTTTCCCTCTGTATCGTTGAAACACCTATTAAAGTTGTAGCGAAGCATCAAGGGACTTGAAACAAGCTGTTGGATAATCAAATGAATGGATGGAATTTATTGACAGCTTAATATTAAATTATAAACACTGTAAGAATTATAAGCAAAGATGAATAGTGACTAGCACTAGGTTCCATGATGCACGTTTGTAGAATATCAGAAAACTCGTTTTTAGTATATTCGGTTAGTTCATATCAAGCCTTTCTGATCAATTTATGATATTAACACGGATCTTTCAGTATCATTGGTAAATAATTGTTTTACACTCAACACGATTGAAATCAATTGGTCACAGCTTCTCGTTAGAACTCTGAGAATCGCCTCTTGAAATTAGTCACTAGTGAACACATAATTATAACGAGTGTAAAATGTTTATGAGGTTAGAAATATACAAGTTAGACATTCGCCACTAAACTTGAAGGTTTTGGGTTCGATACCTAGTGCACATTATAGACATGTCTCATACTAGAACAAGGCAACTATCTGTTCATTGACTGTTTAAATGAGATCAATTTGTGATGTAAACTATAAAATCCAACAATCTCTTAAAATGTCTTACAATAATAATAACAATAATTCGGTTACAATACACAAACATCAATTTATTTATTGGTGGAATGACTGACCATTCGTTCAATGAATATATAAACAAAATTAAGAACCATTCATATTTTATTTATAATATTTTATAGATCAAATGAATGATTTTTAAACTATACCATTATATTCAGTAGTCAAGGATGAATAATTATGAAAATATTTTTAATAGATTAAATCATATTAATAATATGAAGAATTGGATGTATCAATGGATTATATATTTATTAATTTACAATATTGTCGGTATGTCATTTTTTAACTCATTTGTATTAATCTTAATTTATGTACCATAATATTCAATATTCATTTTGGGTGAGACTATAATTTATGGACAAGTTAATCAGAAGCGTTTCAGGGATTTCAAGTTCACGGTGCTAATTTCAATACCTGATGCTTACGAACGATCGGTTTTACAGAGGATTTTAGAGAAAACGTGATAATTGAGCGGCTACAACAATTGAAACTACTAAGAAGTTCCTTCATTTTTTTAATTGTGATAATCATATGACTTGTGGACCTTGTGCAAACTACCGTGATGATGTTGTCTTTTGATGTAATATATGTTGGAGGAAGAAGTCTGCTAGAATAGGAAGGTTTTCCGCTCGATCCAAATTGAGACTAAGGCAAATTATTGTATTTGTTGCAAACTGTATAATAAAGCACTAGTAACATTGGTTGCAACATTCACAGATGTTACTGAAGCTTCGGTTGTTCAGTGGTATAGGTATTGTAGAGATATATGTGTAATAAAAATAACAAACACAACCGGAGTGCACAAAAACAATATTGTGGTCGAAGCCGAAAGAGGTTTACGACCTTATCATGGCTCCACAGGCCGCCCATTATGGAGTCATATGGATGAGTTTGTCCACTGTATTCATTACGATTTTAGAACTTCTGAACCAATTTCTAACCTTGGCAAGTTTTAGAACCATGTGGAAGAAGTATACTCACTTTAATTCTTTGGTTTTGTATAATATATTTTTAGTCTAAACTAACTGTTTCTTGATTGACTATTATTTTCCAAGGTCACTTAGGATTCCTTAAAAGGTCGTCCATAAATTATAGTCTCATCATTGAAGCTACACGGATTAACAAATAATGTGGAATGTTAGTTAACTAATAGCTAAAACGACCTCAAGAATTTCTTGATATTCTGTAAAGTTGTTTAAAAATGTCGATGAGATCCAGAATATTCCTCGAAAAATACCCCGAAAGGCCCTGAAAACTCTAGGATACATTTTTATCTAATCATCGTTGAATAGAAGTTTAACAGAAATATCTAAAAAGTGAAGGGTCATGTGTCACATTTCTGATTAGATGATTACCTATCCAACGACTATGTTTAGTAGTGTTCCAAAACCTTACAGAAGCCCAAGGTCATCTGAAATACTATGAATACCCTAAATTTTCTGTACATAGGACGAATCATGGAGTAAAGCGTCCTTTTTCATACTTCACACCTTTTCTCTAGTGTTCAAGTTGTCGTGTAGATTTAACCTGGGGTTATTAGAAGAGTTTAGGAAACTGATACAAGAGTTCAGTCAGAAGATTTACCAAAAATGTATTATATTCCACAGATTCAAGTCGGTAAATTCCAACTTCAACATTTGATTCATTTAGTATTAATCAATTTCACATTTCTACTACTGAATGGTGGTTAAATTTTATTGATCAGGTTAAAATATGACTTCTAGCCAAAGTGATTCAGCATCGTGGCACATGTACTAGGTTTGATGTTATTTAGTTAAACACAATCAACAGGAAGTCATTGACACAAATTTTAGATCTCATCTAAAATGACACTTACATTAATCTTGCAGATACCATTTCACTGATGAAGAGTTTAAACTGAAATGACACCTAAATTTATGATTTATTCTCAGTTAACATTTCAGTCATAACTACTAAAATGTGACATTCATTGGTGTTATTTTGCAAATAGGTTTAGTAGTTTGATTCATCATTCATTTTTTAAAAATAACTTGATCACTAGAAATTTTAGCCGTTTAAAATATCGTATATATACCCGATAGGTAGCAGGTTTGAACCTCGTTTATCTAACTTAGGTGAGAACAATCAGACAGTATCATTAAAATAAAGTATCACTTAAAGTTAAGTACAATAATTCTATACAGTAGATAAAGAAATAAGAAAGCTTTTGTTCAACTATTTCCTTTTGATAAAATTTTCTTTCACATGCAAGTCTGCTGTACTTATAATGTTCGGTCAATGGATCAATTCACAGATTTGTATGGTCTTACTACTGTTACCATTACTATGTATTAAATCAGTTGACTATGAAGTATTTCTAAATGTATGAATCACTTATGCAGAAAGATTATATTTTATAATAGCCTGTCAATCATCATTGAAGTAAGATCTGAAATAAACGTTTATTTAAGTCTCATATTAAACACAGAGATAGTGAACATTAACAGAAAACGAGACAAAAAAAGGGACCGAATTTCAGTTGCAATAAAGACTTAAATATTAGAGATATAGTTTGAACAAAAAAAAGACTGAATTATAAATAGTTGAGAATGACATTTAACTCAAGAATAAGTTTAATACATATAATTGATTTACAAGTGAATAGTGACCGATATATTGTTTGTTTAATCCTTTCGTACTGATCAACTTCTATTGATCAAACGGCATTTTGATCAGTAGTCTGAGTGATTAAAATACATCGGGTGCATCAGGTTTAAATTTTAGGTGGATGTAGGGAGGCGGCAAGAACATCTAGACCTAGTTTCCCTGTTATTTGATACTAGTCAGCAGGATGTACCTGTAATCATGAAATAACTTATGATTCCTGGTAGATTTGATCCTGTATCAACCAGCTTCACATTTACAGACAACATGGTGCACAAGATGTAAAGTTACTTAAATTAGTGATGATGTCTCATTTTCATCTATGGAATTCGGTCAGAACTAAGAAAACTACAGAGACATCAAATTGATTACGACTCCGTAGTCAATCAATTGTGAGTACATGTCAGTTCTACAGCACCATTGATTACTAATATTACAATTTTTTAGTATTGTGACATTAACCAAGTGAGTAGATTAGTTAAGTGTGGCAAGTGAATAAGTAATAAATGAACATAGGTCAGATGTGAACTCTGTGGTCACTTTATACAAGCACTTTATTCCTTAATTTATTCTTTCTTTATTTAACTGACAAAACGTCCATTTATCCTAATATTTTATTTAAAGACGCATATATTTGAAGGGTTTCGTGGAGATTGTTAAATATTTTAGTCTGATTCGTCGCAGATTAATCTGTTAAAAAACATGGAGCACCAAATAGCTGTTTTATCTTAGAATGGAACTTCTCAAAAGTCATGTGTTCTCGTGTTGAACTCTTAACCATTGGAACGATTAATCCATCGTCCACTTGAAGCAATTTAGATGCGAATAATAGTTCTAATACATGTTCGAAAACTCAGTCATTTGATTAGCAATTTAATTTTTCTAAAGTTATTCGATTAAGGTTCGATTTTTTATTCGACCAATTCAGTTTATCGAATCATCCAGATTCTGGTAGTATATAGATTAGAGTATTGTTTGTCGTTAAATTCTTCTGTTATGTGGTTAGCGGAATCATTGAAGAAAAAAAAAGGAATTATATGTGGTAGATAATCTCAGCTTATCTAGATTATAACTATTTTAATTCAGAAATGTTTTGTTAAATGTTATATCGATCTCGTTTCTTTTCGATTGATTCTTCTAACATCATTTGTCAAAAGTAACTAGCAAATCAATCTAATATATTTTATAAATATTGAAATATACTAAACTGTTGTTGGTTTATTTTCTCCAATTCTCCAGTTCCATGTCGAACTAATGAAATTTACAATATGACATCTAATCAAGCATTAACTTGTAATTCATTACTTACAAGTAATGTATTACAATATCATATAGAACAATTATTAACTCATTATGGTAAAGATAGTGCATACAAAATTGGTAATCCAATAAAATTTGGTACTGCTGAATTTTTCGATATAAGAATTAATGGTTTATCTGCTGTACAATTCGCAGGACCAGTTGATATTATTGATCTACCATCAGGAGATATACGAATGATATTTACATTATTATTTGATTATCTTGTTATAAATGGAAAAATGAAAATGATCATGTTTGCTACTAAACCTCGGGTAATTAAATGTATTAACTAGTAATAGTAATAATTATATTTTTTATATCTCAATGAATAGAAAATTTTATTTTTGACGCTTTGTGACTTAATGTAAGTCACTTCTTCAAAGTATTAACTATTGTTTTAAAGTTTGATATTATAAGTTAGAATAGTTCATGTTATGTAATTAGATGTAATTTACCGAAAGGCATTTGGACTCAGATTTCTTGCGAGTTAGCACTTGTCAGCAGGTTGAGATCATAGCTACTATCTTGATGTGGTAATTGGGTCTAATTATCGTGACGACCCATTTAAGCTGCATTGTCTGAAACACCAGTTCTTTTGGGTCTGTTAATGTCAAGCAGGTTCGTTGGGGAAATTTAAGACTAAAATCAGCAACTTAAGGTCCGAGGGAGAAGTTGTACTGTTCACGGTATAAGGGTGTAATGGCAGTATAGAGTTATTGGTTTCTTTTCTCCAGTTCTCTAATTGAATTCCCGTAATCTGATTCCAACTAGATCATATGATGATGTGATCGAAATATACATCCCGGCTACCCTTGTACATAATTACCGACCTAATTTGCGTTAGAAAATAACGAAATAAGTCAAATTTCTGCCTAGTTCAGACAGACATTCAGTATGAAAGGCTGGGAAGTGGAGTTGAGAGGTCAAGTGAACCAACTCGATTTGATCAGGTGTGACTCAGTATTTTTAATCAGACAAAAATAAGCTGCAGACATGTGATGAATAGGGTAAGCAACACGCATACAATCATTCAAAAACGTCTATGGTTAATAAGCTAATAATTGACAAGGTCAGAAAAACCACTAAGCTGAACTGTCCGGAAGCTAGAATAACCTATGCATGCTTCACATAGTACCATGTACTACAAGATCTCATGGTGAGTAGGATTATCAGCTAACCACCGAATCAGAGTTCTATCTCTCAGTCATTTTTTGGCATAATTCATTCAATGTTACAGATAAACTACTGTCTCATTACAGATTTAATTGCTTCTTATTTAACCTCTTATTAATTCTTAATTAAGCTGTCTAATGACTGAATGAAAAAGCAATTAGGATACTTAATAAAGTTGTTAAAATGTTAATAGAATTTTAAAATGATTCTCGTTTTTATTGTTTTACTACTCAACAATGAATATAGATAATGTCATATCACAACTTGGTCGAGCAAGTATGCAATATGGACTAATCATCTTGTTGATTTCATTTAAATTGTGTTAGTACTGTATGGCAGTTTAGACTGATGCATATTTTTATCAGGCTTTACATTAATTATGACTGACTGACTTTTTCTTACAAAAGTAATTATAATCTCCACAAAACATATATTTTTTCTACAGGTCATAGACTTCAGATTATATTATGCGATCATGGAAAGATTGGTTATTTTTATCTTCATGTGAAGATTACTTGCTTCTCCTTTAACTAGTTACTTGAAACTTCTGTGAATCTATTAGTTTATTTAACTAGTGGACAAAATTTTGAAATAATACTACCATAACAATGTACGGTGTGGCTAATGATATAGGGACAAGGTCAATGAGATAATAAGATCATCTTATGATTTTAAAGCCACTTTAAAGTTAATGAATAGAGAGTCTTAATAAATTAAAAGTATTTTACATCAGAAACAATTAAATCTGTTGGAGTTTAATGGATTTAGCAATTGTATTGTTCTTAAAGACTAATATGTTCCATGAAGTATCGATAAATAACCTCATTAATCGGTATGTGAATCAATCCACCTTAAAGGTCTCTTTCTAAATCTTTTTCATAACCGTAGATATTTTAGTATTATTATTAGAAAAGTTTGAGTTATTCCATTAGTTGACATATATGCAGCTTGCGTGGGTTGTCTTGATTTAGTCGTTTTTCACAAGATTTTATTGAATAAATAGACGTTAGTTAACAGTGGATCGTAGAACGTTTATTTGTCCTATTTTGGACTTGCAAGCTGTATGTATTGACATCTCAGCGTTGTTTGTACCTAAACTCAGTGGATGATGTGTTTGAATTTGATGTGAAATGTATTGAGTTTGAGTTTGATTGTGAACATCAATACGGGAATTCAGGTTCGTTCACTGATAAGTTCCAAATAAGATAAAACTCGTGGCCTAGATCTCACTGTTGGTCACTATCCATTCTTCCTATAAATAATTTTTATCAAGAACTCATTATTGTCAACAAAATTTTTATCAGTAAATTAATTTAATTATAATACTACGGTATGAGGGAAGTTGTGAGAGAAAAATATTTTATCCGTATTAACATTGTTTCCTAACTGACTCTCCTATTATTTTGTAAATCATTAATAAAGTGATTTCTTTGAAAGTTCATTATGAACAAGATGAATTGAAACAAAAACTTAATATTTTACTTGACATGTACAATCTATATAGAAATAAAAATGGCGATTTGATACATTGAATAGTAACATTTTTACCTGACAATAATAACAGCATAATATATTATACATAGGTATTTGATATAATTTAGATTAATCAGCATTCACCTTTAAAGTCCCCACAGTAACAACAAACAAGAACGAAAAATATGCTCTCGATTCTAACTGCCTTTATTATTATTATTACTATTATTAATAATGACTTTATGAGATAGTGGAGAAGATATGTAGCTCAGGTCTACCTGAAATTTATGCTGATTATATCGTTTAGAAGAACGATGAAAGAAGCTCCACTACCAAACCATATAGCTCAGAGAACAAAACTTCATCAAAATGAATGGCTTTATTCAATATTATATTTTTGTTAGAATATAGAATTTTCAGAACAATGTATTTCAATAAGTTTCCGTTCCTTATTTCTTGCTTAATCCTGACGACAAATATTAAATAATCGCCAGTTAGATATATGTTAACAATTCAGAAAATGACATCTGAATAATATTCATTCTTTTCAATGCATGTTGCTAGTCACCACAATCTCTCTGATTGTACTTTTTTATAACTTGTACAGAGAAAGTTCATAAACTTTTTATAAACGCGCCTAAGTAGATTATACGATTAATAGACATAATGATGTGTTAAAACAAATTGTTATAAATCATGACCTGTGTGCCCTGTTTATTGTATAACTTAACGATACCACTAATTTGAGAGCAGCGAATTATCGATCGAACTAGTGCCGCATAAAACCGTGAGAGCAGTCTAAAGTCCTTATTGGTCCTGCTAGTTAAGTCCATAAAAGCAATCTCAGCCTCTGCAATATGAATCATCTCTTTCAATCATACTAGGTTTATATACCAACCAGACAGACTACATCGTACCATAAAATATGAAACAACATTTGTACAAGAATTAGTCGAATGTAGCTGTGAATGAAGGAGGTAGTAATTAATAGACAAGCTATAACTTAAGAATACGTAAATCATAGAATCATAGTTCATAGATCAAAATAAAGCTCATAATAAGAAGGACATGGATATAAATAGTTTAGTTACATATAACAATTATACGATAAAAATATACATATAATATTGGTCCATAAATGGATCCCAAAAGTTACTATTCATGATGCTTATCGGAACACAACACAAATAAAAACAGATAACTTGTTGATGACAAAAACAAATAGCCAAAATATTCAATCAGATCACCAGAGATCTTTATACTATAATTACAATTAATATACTTAATAATTTTTTTTTGTATCTAAACATACTTGCTCTTCTTCTTCTTTTCTTGATATTTCATTTACTTTTTTTTCTTTCTTTTTAGTCAGTTGAAATTAAAATTAAATCAATTAAAATATTTTTGGATTTACTTCTTATACAACCAATCAACAATGATCTATTATTACCGATACGTGTAAAAAAAGTTACCGTTATTCATTGGAATAATCTTCGATTTGATAGTAAAGGTGTTTTTACAATATTTTTTAAAATGTTCAATCAATTTCGTTTATATGATAGTATTATTAAACGTTCAATTGAAAAAGAAATTTATCAACAAATTGATAGATCATTAAAATCATTTTTTATGGATTAAAATATTGTTTTAATAATTAAATAGAAAAAGTAATCAATTGTTTATATTTATTTAATTATAAAATTAAATAATTTTATTTTGTTTTATTAATTGATCATTGAAATATATTTGTAAGTTTCATTAAAACAGTAAAGTTAGAAAGGATTATACAATCAGAACAGTTTTGATGGATGTAGAAAATGGTACTGTGGACTTGTTGTTAGGAGAAAGACTTCTCGACCTTAAGTATGCAGATGATATTGTCTTACTATGAGATAATACACAAGTCATACAATTTTCACTTAATCAGTTGACAATTAGTACCTGTAGGTATGGTATGTGCTCTGCATTTTCCAAGTGCGAAATTCGTGTATCTGGGTAGCTGCATAAGTGCTGGTAGTGGTGTGAGTGATAAGATCAATTCATGCATAGTGAAAGTCATAGTGGCTTATGCTAATCTGGACCACATTTGGCGCCTTCGTGATGTCAGTCTGAGTGTAAAAATTTGGATCTACAATGCTTCAGTGAGGCCAGTTTTTCTCTATGCTTGTGAAACGTGGCATCTCCGAGTTGAGAATGTTAGACGACTCTCTGTGTTTGAACATCGTTGTCTCCGAAGAATTGCTGACATCTAGTGGCAACATCATGTAAGCAATGCAAAGGTTCGGCATCACGTGTTTGGGTACAGCGACGATAATTAAATTTCTACCACTAACTTGAAACATCAACTTCGATGGCTTGGACATGGCTTACGAGTGTTTTCCCAGCTAGTTCCACATCGTGCATCGTTTGCTGACTCTGGGACCGGTTGAAAAAACTGAGAGGTGGTCAGTGTATGACCTTGTGTCGTGGTACGAAAGAAAGCTGTACATGATTGGCTTCTGTCGATCCTTCACGACTCTCTGTTTAAGGTCCTAACGATGCTGCAGCACAGTGGCCAGAGACATTATCAGATATGGCTCAGGATAGAAGTCATTGGCGATCCTGCTGTAACTTTATTTTACTTTTTTCGTAAAAAATAGACGTAACTTCTTTGACTGGAAGAATTTTTCTGGTTGTACCTTTGCTAACTGGACTGTTTTTCCCGTTACTATTACTTCAATATCACACACTATTGTCTGTTCGTTATTGTTCCCCTTTTTGTCATGCGCGCCCTACATTCTCTATCTCTTCACATTCTCGTTGTTATTTGGTGACCCTTTATACCAGTATTTGTGTTCAAATAAAAAAATGTATATTTGTAAAATGAATAATTTGTATTCAAGTAATTTTACGTTTTTTTTGTGTCGTTTTTTTTGGGGGGGGCTCTCACTTATGTTATCTTGTGGTGTAGGAGAGACTTCCGTCTACTAACAAAAATGACGAGTATATTGCTAAGCAGTTAGCTTCCTCTTCTACATTATGCGTGTGAAATTCGACACTTAGAAATAAAAGATGATAATAATAACAGTAATAACAGGTGAGACTATAATTTATGGACGAACCAATCAGAGATAAAATAATCTCTTGATTCTTGGCGCGAAATTCATCTATACATTCGGGCTAAATAGTTTTGGCATTATAGCTGATATCAGTTCGTGATGAAAATCCTAAATCTAATCTTTGACCCCTACCGTCAACTGTAAATGAAAATCCTGACTGCTTCATAACCCTCACTCAGTCCTATTCAGTGGCTGTCCACTCTCAAGGTCACTTCAGCGTCGTTCAAAGGTCGTCCATAAATTATAGTCTCACCTAATAACATAGCTTTATTCAGTATCATATGTTAGGTTACTAGTGTTTGGGCATAGATGTCTTCGAAGCATCGATCACATATTTTGAAACCATCAAGCAACCAGTGTTGAGGTTAGAAATAAAATATTGGGTAAAGTATGTAAATCGGTTGCTTCTTCCGATCCGATTCCTTTTAATGTATTGTATTATGCTACTTACTAATATTCAGTAGATAATGCATCTCATTATTTTCGTTGGTTTGTATTATTCCCAAGGACATACACGAAATTCAACATTCAATTCATTCATCACTGTAATTGTATATTATCAACATTTTCTGATGTGTGGGCGAGAATGATAATGGCTTTTTGTCTGCTTAGTCAGACATGTAGATGGTCTGACAGGTATCAGATGAGTTTTATATTCCCCTATCCTTAGTATTGGGACTCACTTATTATTGATTGTTCATTCTCGTTGGATTGTGTTGGGGTTTTGCTGTGGAAATCTATTTACTTTGTGGTCAGGCTGATCACGTGTTCTGGATCTGAATTGTATTGACGTCCTGTAGAATAGACACTGAGAGGGAATTTAGTGTAGATATTCGTCTAAAGTAAATTAACGTCCTATAAGTGTAAACGGGAAAAACCAACCGTTCTAACATTTTCAGTACTTGTTTCCAATTATTTTGTGCCTATTGAACACTTGTTTATTTATTACACTTTCCACATTGTGTTCTTAGTTCTCAGTTTGAGTATTCACTAAAATCGTGCTATTGATTAATGTATTGGGTGTTACGTATGTTATCGAATGTTTTTGTACCTAATTTCTATATGAATATAACGGAAAACATTTGTTCATTGATTTTAAATTGACACAGTAAACGCCATTCACATTTTAGTGTGATATCCGCGTCACCTATTCTTATACTTGAAAGAATGAGGAACCGCTGCAATCTCGATGACTTGAAGTACGAACACCAAGACTGATATAAGTGAAGATTTATTAAGACCAAAACATGACGACCCTAGTAGAAAATGCACTCATCCATATGTATTGATTGTACATTTCGATTATGAATTAGGATGAAATAACATATGTAGTAAATATCCAAAGTTATAACAAATTGCGTGCTACATGTCATACTGAGCATAGTGTACGTTAATTTTGTACAAGAATATCGTATCTTGAATAAACATCACATTCAAATAAATTAATGTTATACCGAATAAAATACCCTGAACAACGGAAGTGATGTTGAATGAAAATTACAATGAGTGAAATAATATAATTCTATCCTTTCATTCCATCATATCACTAACAAGTTAAGGCTTGTGTTAGAAATACAAGTATCCTATTTTAGACAAATCATCTGTTGTTGTGCTTTCTTTAATTTTATTTCTACGCATAGATCAGTAACATTTAAGATCTTCACGTCACGGAATGATAAATTGACGAACTAAATATTACCCAAGATTATCAAAAAAACTTCTTTCTGGTATTGTATTATGACCCCAAATGCCCTGGTACGGCCGAGAGTGGGGAGAGTCCGCTCTCGCTCTCCAAATGCTCTCACATGGCCATGCGTATATAGCTTCTCACAGGGAAGTCCTACTCACTGCCTTCTCGTGGCGGGGTGTTGTTTACGAAAATGAGAGGACGAAAAGCGAATGTCCGGCGCTTCAACCGGACCCCAAATCAATGGTGCACATGGGCTCCAGTATCTTGAAGGAACAAATGGCGTATGAACCAATCGTTGGTCACCGGCTACTATGGGACTGCATCTCCTCACGATGCTCCACTGCCTTGTGGGTCAGACGTTCAGGTCGAAGGCTCGGTGTGTGGCCCCCTAAGAAAACCACCTACTTCAGTTTGGGCACCCGGGCAGTATCACAGCCCTCACACAAATCAATTGAGATTCGTGTGGCGCATATGTACATGGTGCCTCCTTTTACCAATATCTATGTGTTAAAATAAAATAAGTACTGTATTATTGAGTGGTGAACATTAACGCTTACTTCAAAGATTATATATAAAGGTGTCGGTTTCAAAGAGAGGTTAATAAATACATAAATAAATCATCAATTCATTCAGATTATATTTTTCCACCTTTTAAGTTCTTTTTTTTTCTTTAATACATTACTTTACCCCATAAACGCTTTACAATGGCTAGATTCCTCATGAATTATAGAATAAAAGACAAATACGTCTTATAAAACATTTCATTATGTCAATAATAAATATTGATAATAACAATAATGATATCACATTTTATATGAGAACTTGTTGTACAAAGCTTATAGCATTTATGGTATAGTGGGGGGGGTGGGGGACAAACTGAATGGAAATGCATATATTCATATGTTTTTTTAATTACCTTTTGGCTATATGTAAACTAATATGATACATATGAATCAAAAGGATTAAACATAATATCAACTCATTTGTGAATTATATGCAAGTTTTAACAATTTCCATGGTACTCTTGAATTTAATGAATGAAACAAGGAACTAAAAAGCATATCAACCCAAGAAGAAAAGGAATGAATTGTAATGATTCATTTGTTTATCTCTTATCAATAAAATTGTAAATTATAGTCATTAAAACGCTGTACACTGTAATATCTGTGTGGATTAAGGTGTATTAGTCTATGCAATTATATATATGTAGGCAGATTATGTCAACGTAAGAGATAAATAAATGAATAAGCGAATGAATGAATACTCAAATCAGTAAATGAATGAAAGACATTTGGCAAAAATGAAAATTGTTTTATGGAATAGTTATAGTGGTTTTGTTTGTAAGATTAGTAAGAACATTAAGCGATTATATAGCAGCATTGTTGATAACGTCAGATAGTTTGCAGACATTGTTACACCTTTTTTTGTTATGGATGAGCTAAAATCAAATATATATATGAGAGTAAACATTAGTATATTTGGTTATTAGTAATAATTAAAATAAATCTTTATTACTTCTTTGTGCTTATTGACCATGATTAGGATATAAGATAGATGATTCTATGCAAATTTGTATCATAATGGCTTTATTGAGGCAATCCATACAGGATGGAGAAATGTCAACCAAAGCTAATTAAAATTTAGTCAGTATATTAACCATGGGATAACCAAAGTCATTATAAATTAGATTAAGATTCGTACCCGTTGCATTAATGAACGGCTGTCTGGACCCAATAGTTAGGTTTGTAGCACGTTATTTTTTGAAGCGCAAAGTGCTGGAATTGAATTACGAGATGATGACACATTCAGCTGACGAGTCCTAAATAGGATGACAAGCGAGTCCTAGATTG